ACATCAGTAACATACATCTCATTTTTCTAAATTTTATTCGATAGTTTCTTGCTAGCATTCAAATCTACAATATTCCTCTATTAAATTTTGCTTAAACAATGTAAATACAATTTCTTTGCAGATTTTTATGTAACGATAACATAAACAAATAAATATCAAAAGATAAATTCTTAATAAAAAAAGAATGTTATTTCAATTTAAAAAAAAATGAAACAATCTTAAACTTGAAAGGTTGTTGCCAGGACTTCGCACAGTTGATTCGATTATGAAAATAATAATTACGTTTATAACTTCTAACAAGCTAATAGAAATTGATAAATCACATAAATTTCCATAACTGATACAAACAAAAACACTCAAGTGACGTTATTAAATGCATTCAAAAAATTTGTACTACTAGAAAGAGTATTATTAATAATGAGCTGACAAATCTTATGCATGATTCGAAAAATTAAAGTTGCATTGTTAAAACTATGGTTAACATTAATAAATCGACGCTCGAAATGTACATAAATACCAGTAGCGGCGGCGGTAATTCATATCGAAATAAAATCAAGAAAATGAATACATCAATTAGCGAAATTGTTAACGAAATTATTACGGTAAATTTCAATGATAGTAATAAACCTAGCATTACTACTCGTCCAGCTGTCTTTATTGGTTCAAGTAATCCGGTTAACCCGAAACAAATGATTACACACAGTGATACCAGTCTAATGTTTAGACCTCCTTTCCCACCAGCACTGGAAGCCGACAATATTTTCGGCAAAATATCAGATGGAACTAATCCTACCAAGCCATCCAATGCATTCTTCCTTTATCGAAGGGCATTTGTAAAGTCTGCTCTAGCTAATGGATATAAACTCCCGATGACTGTTATTTCTTCGATGGCCTCGCAAGCCTGGGGACAGGAATTGCCTTTCGTCAAGGATGAATACAGGAGGATTGCCAAAGAAGCAAAGAAAAATCATGATTTATTGTTTCCAAAAACACATAAAATAAACGAACCCAAAAGATGGCGTGTATATCCAATTAAGCCAAAAAATTAAATCTACACCGAAACAAACCAAATAAAGAATCGTCAATTATTTCTTATCCGTATACTTATCCGAAATCTTAATTGTTAATGAAAACGATGTATTATACAATGAGTGGAAGCATTTTTTCAACCTTCATATTAACTCGAGTATAACCAAACATAGTCAAACCTCGATAACCGAACCCTGTTAAACTGAAGTACTGATTAAACCGAAGTTTGCTGCAAAAACAGTTTAGTAAATCCCCCTCGATAAACCGAATTTACTAAATAAACCGAAATTTTCTACTAATACTTTGGTTTATTAAATCCAAAAATTGTATCATTATATTTAAAATTCTAGATATAAAATAAACAAGATGATGTTGTTTTATTGGCCTTCATTTTAAACTTCAGGGATAAAAGATGTTTTATTCGAAACACTAAATTGCTTTTATTTCACCCACAACCTTTGTGAACTTTACCTCAAATTGACTTTCAGCATTGATTATATACAATCAACAGTAATCAAATATTTTTATGATAAATAGTTTGATTGCATAAGGTAGATAAGGATATTATGACGCAATTAACATTGCCAATAGTATAACTTTGTAAAATTGGCATAGAATTTAAAAAATTTTAATAAATATAGATTGTTTGGGTTTCAAAGAAAATATTTTTATTTAAAATAAAAAAATTTTAATAAATATAAATTGTTTGGGTTTCAAAGAAAATATTTTTATTTAAAATAAAAAAATTTTAATAAATATAGATTGTTTGTGTTTCAAAGAAAATATTTTTATTTAAAATAAAAAAATTTAAACTAAAAAATTTTTTTCTAATAAAGAAACTTTTCTTTAAAAATTTATAATCTTTGGATGATTGACCAAAAATGACGCATTACAAATATTAATCTAGATAATCAAAAAAACATAATTTAACATTGTGCAACCATCTTATATTTTTTTCTTTCCTTAATTGTTGCTTTTCCTTTTTTGCATGTTCCATCTCTCTGTGCTCATGCCTCTTGTTTTTGTGCCTTTTCAACTTTCATTTTTGAGCAATGACTTCTTTTTTATGCTTTATTTCGTTGGCTTTTTTTTCTGCTTCCTTTTCCACATCTTAATGACATCTCATTGGTAACAAACTGAGAAAATGATATAGTTTTTGCTTCTTTTTTTTTGTAGGTGAGACTCAGATTGGTTCTCAGCATTAATTTTTGGCTTTTTGATTGATTGCAAAATGTGAGAAAAAGAATACTTAAATACTATTTGCAAAAAACTTGTACCAGAATGTTTAAAGATTTCCAATTCCTTCTTTGTCATTTTCAATTCAGCTTTCAATTGCTTAATTCTAATATTGAGATTTTTAACTTCAAATCCTTGTATATTGCTTGAATTTTGTCTTGAAGAAGATTGTGAAAGTAATACTGTATTTGTAACAAGCAATATAGTGAGTTGCTTTGGAATAATATCAAACTGTTCAGTTATTAATAAAGAATCAAAACAGTCAGAACTAATTGTATTAGGATTAAACAATCATATTTCAGTTTATTGCAAATTATTGTAAATGTGTAGATTTTAATATAAGCTGAACTAAAAATCTTAACAAATATATACTTTATTACAAACTCTCTATTATTACTAATACAAAGCTAATTACAACTTTTATTATATACTTTTTTAAGCTGAATGAACATAAATCCAGCTAGTTGAAGTATATGATGATATAAAATAGAAGAATATATAAAAAATATCATTATTATAACAAAAATTGATGCTAGTATAATTAACATAACTTTTGTGATCATCAAAAATCAATAAGTAGATGAAATTGAGCAACTAAAATGCTTGATATAATTTTGAAAAAGATTCTTTCGCATAAGGTAAGTGAGGGTATTATGGTGAAAGAGGATATTATAACAAAATAGTGGTATCTCGATCTTTAGTGCTCAGAATTGCACAAAAATGTCACCAATTGATTCACCGCAATGAGATGAATCAAATGATGATATTTTTGTGCGATCCTGATCACTAAAGATCGAGATATCTTAACCATTAGCTACCATACACAAGAAAAATAAAATTTCAGGTAATGATCCATGTTCAGTGAATTTTGGAGGTAATATCTTGATCCCTAGTGATCAAAATCCCATGAAAATATCACCATTCAATTCGTCTTATTGCAGTGAATCTAATGATGGGATTCTGATCACTAGGAATTGAGATATCACATATTTTTATTTTAGTTCATCATAATATTCACACAAATAAAATTTTAAAAAATATCAATTTTGTTCTATATATTATTTGTAATATCATTATATTTTTATTAGATTTATATAGAATTAATTATGCTTTTTAGTCATAATAAATGTTTCAAATATTTGTTGTTTATAAAAGAGTTTTCCTAATTTTAATATTAACTTTGTCATAATACCCTCCTTTACCTTATATCCTGTTTTCATAAATCTCATAACAAAACTAAAATAAAACTTTTTAAAAACTTAAATAATGAAATAATAAAAGGAATATTTTTTTAACATGATAAATGTATTATTTTTAAAAGAACATTATTATCAAAGGAGTTTATTTTTGAGCCAATAATATTTAGAATTTAACTAATTAACTAATTGGCTTGTTAATTGAGTTATTGAATTATTAACTTATTAACTGAGTTATTAAATTATTGACTGATTTTTCTAAGCTAAAATACATGCTTCTTTTATACAA